TTGCCTTAAAAAAATTAAGTAATGTGTAATGAAAACTTGAGTCAGAATAACTATCATTTTTGAGTTAGGCTAACATAAACACCATTTGCGCAACTTGTAAATTTGAATTATTTTAATTTAACATCTTGAAATTGCAATTTAATTGCATGTCTCATTAGGCAATTGAGAATTTTTTTATATTTAAGTGATATTAACCACTTCGCTAAACACCGAAGGGTTAACCTTTACTGTGAACATGGTCACTGACCAACACAAATGCCCACTCATCAGCAAAGAGAACGATAACCTTCACTCTTAGCCAACAACACAACGTCAGGCAGCTGAGTAAAGCATATATAAAAAACATACGCCTGAGGAAAGGCAGCCTGGGTGGAATGAAAGCACACTGACTGTGAGCAAAACAAGGGGAAACTCTCAATATGCAAATAGATGGAGCCAGGAGCCAATGGGAAAGAAATACATTTTATCTAATAAAATCGTGTTAACAAAACAAACATGTAATTGTATTTCACAGCTTACTTAGTTTCACCCAGTTTCACACATTTGTTCAGCAACTTTAATGAGAAAGAAACATGTTGAAGAAAATGTTGTCATTTTTTGAATGTGGGGTTTCAAAGTTGCCATAGCAACAGACTAAAGTAAATAGCAATAAGTTAATTCAACTCAAAAATGTCATTTGGGTGTACAAAATCATCAAAAACGTTCCCTTAACTTAAAATTGTTGAGCAATGTGTGGGATACACTGAGTTTTATGTACAACTGACTTAATTTATTTAAGTTAAAACAAAATGCGGGATTACAGTGCACTTTGAATCGTGTCACCTTTGACAGGTTATATGCAGCAATTCACACCCCATCTCATATTACTGTGGCAGAAAAATTAGCTTATGCAATTGCTCCAAAGCTGTGGATTAGGATTCCAGCGTGACAGGCAGAAGAAGCCTTATCAGCAGAATGCCTTCCAGACCTTTTAAAGAATTGCTCATAATTCCACATCAGCCTGCGTGGTGGAGAGAGGCTTTATTCTCTGCCCTCTCTCACTCTGCATGCTCGTACGTGCCATCTTACCAGGTCCATCAAAACTACTCTCTTTGTACAGAACTGGCCATCCCTTCATTTTATTCAGTTTCCAGTCAGACTGGCCAGTAAGTACAAGTTCATCTTTCAGTAGAAATATATATTCAACAGAAATTCTACAGAAGCCTCAACAACTGAATATAATATAAAATGTTCTTTTAGTGTTTTAGTACAGCTCCCATTCCTTTCAGGAGACTTAGGCCCAATCCCATTTCACCCCTCACCCCTACCACTTAGCAACGTCCGTTTTGCCTGTTCACATCTAGGGGCAAGGTGTCCCAATTCTTGTTGAGACAGAGGGATAGGGCGAAGTGTTGGGGCTACATGACCCTGCAAACGGAGGTTTTTCAGAGACTCCAAACGGAGTATTATGAGAAAAAAAGAAAAACCAGCAATGTACTATGGTCATTTTCTTCATAACAAGCATAAACATTCACTAATAGTATGCCGATGTCTCGGTAGCTAGCAAGGTAAATTTCCCATTCCACCTTAAATAGCAGTTCTGATGCCTGAAGCGCCAGAATGTAACTGCTGCTCCATTTAAGGTGGAACGGGAAAATTCTAACAAAATGTCAGCTTCATATCACTGAAGAATTAGGGGTGGGTGATAATAAATAATTGCCCCCCTCTTTGAAGACATATGATGCCCTAAATGTAACTAAAGCCCAGCAGTGAGGAGCTGAACTTTGCCCTCCTCTGCTGTCACTGCAGACTGGCAGGGTCGCCTACAGAGCAGCGCTGGTAGCTGTTAATGAAGTGATGCTCTTTATATTTGAAGGTCCCATTTCAGATGGGGAGATTTCAATCACTACCACTTGTAACTCAGTTCTAAGGGCCAAGGTGATGCTCAAAAGCAAGAGGTAAGGGTAAAAGAAAGAAATGGGATTGGGCCTTACTCTAACAAACCTGCAAGAGTTCAGTCAGTTGTTTGCATTTTCACCATTTTATGACAAAAGTAATTCCAAACACAATAATGACCTCAAAGCTGAGTAAAGGCTTCTCAACATTGTGGGTCCTTTCAGACCCACAGCGCTGAGTCGTCTTCTCACAGTGGAAGGATGGACAGAAACACCTGTGATGTTTTCAGATCTGAAACATCTCCTCTCTCTCAAAGACGAAAGCTTTACGTACCTTTGGTGGTCTACCAGGTCTGCATGGATGTCTGGAGTCCCATTTTCTCTGAATACCTTATTGAACTCCCATTTTGGAGTTTGGTATTATACTTGATATGACAATTAGTTGTTGATGCTTCTTTTCTGTGTTATAAAAAAATGAAAAATGAATAACTTGTACTTAATGGACATTTGACTTGAAACTGAATAAATGAAATGGTGGTCTCTGATTTTTGTATATTACTGTTCAGTGTTTCCCCTAAACAGTATTTATTGGTGGCTGATACTGGTCCAACATTGATTAGTGGGGTCTTGGGCTTAGAAGCCAGTTTTAAACTGTGCTACTTCTGCACTGGCTATTTGCTCTGTCTTAATCAATGAAGCCTTTTTATTGACGGGATGCTGAGAATGTCATCGTTTACACAAGGTCTTTTAGCAAACCTCAAAGAATGCAAAAGATTGCATGCATATGGGTTCATTAATATTTATTTTGTCAGCAGCTATGCTAATGAAAAGCTAATTTAGCCAGCTAACTGATCGTAACATTGTGCTGCAAGGTTGTTTTTTGTTAGATATTATATTAAAGCAGATGTTAGCAAATTCACTTAAAGTTTACGGCCACTACCGTTCTTACTGCAGGGTTGTTCTGAGGAGTTTTGCCAGTATTTTTCATTCACTTATCAGATGAAGTAGTGCTTAGAGACGGTTGCTAAGCAGTGATTGATTGTGTTGTGCCAATCAATATTTTGCAAAGTCAATAATGGTCCAAAAGATGATTATAATTTAGAACGTAGATAAATTCATCTGGAGGCAGGATAAGAACCATAATTGGGACGGTCCCAGCCCACAAACTGTATATTTTATACCCCATAATATATACAGTCAATAGTACCAACTCCTGTATGATTATAGCCTCTTGCTCATCCACTTTGACGTTGCTTTTTGTTTGTTTATTGCTCATTGATTTTTCCCAGCAGTCTCCCTCAAGCACTGACCAGCATAGTGTGCTGAAAGCGCTTGCTTGAAAAACCATTTCAGAGCTGTATTTGAATGAGAGGCCTATAATCATAGAGTTTATCATAACACACACAGTGTGAGCAAACTAGGAAAAAGTTAATGATATGAAAAATTAGGTGTTAATTATTTATTGCATTAACAAGTTATTAACTTTGACAGCCCTAGTTTATACTAATCTAATGGCCAAATAAGGCATTTTGGGTCCCACTTTATATTGTCACTAATAACTGTGTAGTTACATGTGAACTATGTATGCAACAACATTGTAACTACTAATGATTTAGTCACTGTCACAGATGGATTACAGAAGTAGACCTTATGTAATTACACAGGTGCATCAACTTCAGTTTTGCCTCATGTAATTACACATGTATCTTAACAGTGATAACAGCCTATTTTCTCTCATGTAATTACACAAGTGTAATAACACAAATGTAATTACATTTGTATTCCGACTGGAACAGCAGTTTTTTCCAGAAGATTTTTTTTCCAGCAGTAAAAGGAAGTTTGTAATAACTTACATTAACACATTACTTACACTGTATCTGCCAGCTTTCCTAACAATTAGCTAGCATTTATGTTGCTAGTGCTGTGACACTGTAACCAGTTTCAGCTTTAAACCATTCTGTAATGTAACAGAACAGCAGACGTCCCCTTATCTTAACATGAAACTTTAATGACATTAATTAAATGTGTTGCATTTCCCCCAAAGCAATTTCTATATTACCACTCCTTTATTACACAGTACCTACATAGCAACTACACAGGAACTGTCCACTTATTTCAAAGTGTAACTTTAACACTACAGGAAAGTTCCTCTGTAGAGGATCCACTTGTGTAATTAAATAAGGCAAAACTGAAGCTGATACACATGTGTAATTACATAGGCTTTACTTCTGTAATCCATCTGGAACACTGACTAAATCAGTAGTTACAGTGTTGTTACACATGTTATTCATGTGTAACTACACAGTTATTAGAGACACTTCATATAAAGTGGGACCGCATTTTGACATTATCCTCTGCAGAAAAACAGCAAATACCTCATGTTATACTTATGAGTCATTCTTAGTCTGAACGAATAAACGCCATGGAGCAGTTTTGGCTTGCTGTTCACGCCGCGTCTCTCCTGATTTAAAACAGATTTCAAGATGATTTTAGCAGCCAATCGATATAAAGAACGCCGTGAAAGGAAACCGCCAGACACCGTGTACAACAATCAGTGTCTTACAGCTCTGCCTTTCTGTTTGCTGCGGAAAAGAATAATTATTGATGTGACCAGTGGACGAGTGATTGCGATTACTATGCAGGCCACAGTCTTAAATTATAGTAGTAGGGGAAACACTGATGGTCCTGTCTGCCCACTGCACTCTCCTTTTTTGTCTCTGTGATGTCTTGTTCTTAATTCCTTATGTCCTCCTAATGTTCCTCTTCCAACACACCTGCATCTCTCTACCCTGTTCGTTCATGCTGCCTTCCCCTTGCCCCACATTTGACCTGTCAGTTGGAGATGGAGTCTACCCCTCGACACAAACAGGAGGTACCTGTTACTCCTTCCAGTACATGGTGTTTATGTATGTAGCGTCTACGTGTGTAGCATTGCAGGCAGGCGAAGCTTCAGCGGGAACATTTACTGCACTGTAACTGCTATTGTCTGTGGTTTGTTCGTGCTTTATCGACGGGTGTTTTCAGCCACGGCGCTGCCAGTAATCCTCAAAGGAAGTACTCACGTTCACCTATTGTAGGTCAATGAAGCGACTAAGACCCGCTTGTTTTATCTCTCTCCCTCTGCAGTTTCTGGATAAGTCAGAGGATGTGCTCCTGAAGCACCAGGCTAGCATTAACGAGCTGAAGAGAGCCCTCAGGGAGCCCAACAGCAAGCTGATGAACCGGGAAAAACGCCTGTCTGGGACCTCCCCGGGCGGCACGCCTGAGAAGAAGGCTGTGAGTATGGGAATGGAGTCTGGGGGTAAGGGAGTATAGAGGTATACTGGAGGTCAGAGTCTGGATCTGTACAAAAAACGAATGCACTGAAAATATATTACGATGTGTTCTGTTTATGTTCGACTGCCGGTAATACTGACAATGTATTTTATTTTTTATAAGGGGACAGGCTTACAGTTTTGTAATAATAATTGTAGTTGCAAAATCTTAAAGTGCTTTATAAAACAAGATAAGCATAGCATTGGATAAGATATTAAAGGGGCACTCCGGCCGAAATCAAAAATGTAACCATTACATCTATTGTAAACATGCTTACTGGCTTACTACACTGTTAGAAATAAAGGTGCTGTGCAGGTACATTTTTGTTCATCAAGGTACAAACAATGTAAATGTTCCCTCAAAGTGTACAACAGTGGTTTTAAGGTCTGACTGTGAACCTTAAATAAGTTTTTCCAGGTAAAAAGTACATATTTGTTCATTTTCATTAATGTTTTAAAACGGAACAATAAAATAAAAAAGACTACCATTCACCATTCGCCAAACGTGTAGTCTGACCTTCAGAGCCTGACCAAATCGGACTGAGCCATAAAACTGCGGCAATATCAAGTTTAGCTCAGTTTTGTCAGTTTTTGCCAGATCAGTATTAATGTTGTTTTGTTCCAGCCAGTCTGTAAAGCATCTTACAGCCCATTTAGTTTGGCGAATGGTGTTGGGTTCATTTCTGGCTGATTCCAGGTTGTTTAGCTGTTCTTCTGTCACAGCTGCCGACTGAAAAGCTGCTCAGTGGTGATGACAGATGACAGTTATTTGAGGGCTAGCTGTTTGAAATGCAATGGTTTCTTTTTCCGCTGGCTAATGCAGATGGAAGCCTGATAGCTAACTGTAGTTCCCAATGGTTTTATGATGCATCACAATGCATGCTGGGTACTGTAGTGACAGAACATTGATGGATGAAAACAGACTAAGGATGCAAAATCATGTATTCTGTTTGATGACACTGCAAACTGGGATGCAATGCTGCACTACAAAATATTACAAGGTCAATAACTAAATAATTAAATGCTAGTTTAAGGCTGGAATGCCCCAGTAAGGTTGAAATGAAAAATCAGTACAATGACAAACTTAAGTACACCATGCAAAAAACTATTATTTGATTCTTTCCTTTTCATATTTATTTGTATTTTTACAGCCTTGGTGACAACAAACTGCATTTCATTTGTGAAGAAACGGTGTATTGTGTGTATGGCAGCTAAAGTCCTTTGTTGCATTTGCCTTATCTTGAACCTTTTTCCACTGACTGCTGCCGAGGGCACATTCTGCTTTTCTTCTTATTCCTTCCATATTATTCTTCCAACAAAACGCGCTTTCAAATAGAAATATCTGTGTTTCTCCACAAAGAGTCGCAATTACATGGTGTGAATGTTTGTTTGTTTCAGACCTGCTTTGAAATGTGTATTGAACACCAGAACACCAAAGTCAAAAACCGTATTTAATTGTTATTTAATTAAAAGTGTTCCATGTTATGGCTATGCTCTCATATAATGTCAAGCCCCTCATACAAGAAAGTTCTCGTCAGTTGTTCAAGGGCATTTGACAGACTGTTCATTAGTTTTGCATGAGGGATTTTTACTGCACCCCAGCTTCTTAAGACATGTCATAATCCTAGCTTTGTCACATCGATTAGCTGGCAAGATAATGCCTCAGTCTTTTCAGACAGCAGGAGACGGCTGAGACCTCAGCTGAATGGAATCTCACTGTGATCAAATTGTTAAGATGACATTTTCCACATTAGTTCAGTCTATTATTTATGACTTGCTTTTAGACAATCTTTGAGCTCTGTTTCATCACCTCACGAAATAGGATTGCAGCAGATCATTCACAAGTCAGACAGCTTGAAGGTATAGAGACATATTTGCTCTGTGCTCAGATCTAAATAATAGATTGTTAAGCTTGTGTTGGTAATCAGACTTTTATATCCAAAAGAATGTGTTTTTTAATTGGATTTCAAAGAGTTTTTTTAACTGCTTTGTGCGTAATTGGGAATGTGAAAATGGGTTTGTTGAAGGAAAAAGGGATTTATGCGAATGTGTAGGTGGAGCGACAAGGGAACTGTTACCTGTTCTTAAAACTGCCGTCTGTAATGGTTAGTTGCCAAGGTTCCTCAGAGCAAGCTCAGCTGCCAGAATTTCAATGTGTATAAAAAGCATTTCTCAGGATTCTTTGTCCATCTGTAAGAACTTGCAGTGAAATGCTCTCGTGGTGAATGCAGCTTCATAAGCTAATGGTTAATAACTCTTCTCCGCTCTCTCCTGCTGGTCTTGGGCATTACCAACCATCAGGAGGCAATTGGAGCAGGGGGGAGGGAACCTGTAAACAGCCTTTCTGTGGAAGGTTTCATCCAGAAGACACTGGTGACTTCGCCTGAGGTTGCTTTGCTTGCAAATATCTACCTTTATGAAATAAACAATTTGTATTGGTTATGTCTGAGAACTTTATCTTGGCCCTTGCAACAGCAAAACTAATGATTTTCCATCTGTATCAACACATAGGGCTCTGAGGAGTGGGTGTTGATTGAAAAACAGAACACTTACCAACAGGACTATGAAATGGAAGAGACAGAAAAGGACAAAGTCCATGTTTCCCCACTTCCTGTGGTCACTGAAGCGCCTGTGGAAAGAAAGATGATACACATTGAGGTGACTGGGGAAGATGGTGAAGAAATGCAGGTCCAGATGGACAGTTTCCCATCCCCTAAGGTAGAACCGAAGGAAGGGCCTTCGGAGTCAAAGCAAAGGAATGACACAAAGGAAGATCCATCAGCTGAACCTCAGGCTGTAGAATCCATGGACAAATCGCAAGAAGAACCGTCTACAGCGAAGGCTGAAACTTTCACGTCCAAGTCTGAGGTGAAGGAAGAACGGCGTTCAAGCAAAGTTCGCAGGGAGAGAAGACCTCAGAGTCTGAATTTAGGAATAAGAGAGTTTGTCTATGAGACAAAAACAGAAACAAACATAAGACAGGAGAGCGAGGAGTCAGATGAAGACAACAATACTCCAGGGAAAGAGGAGACACAAGTCAGCCATCCTGATGAGAACACTTCAAGAACAGAGAGTTGGTCAGAGCTCATGTCTGAGAAGATAAAGGAGCATGCGAAAGCTGCCTCAGATGTGCCTACCGGACCACCGAACAAAGAAAGCGAGAAGGAGCTGAACAGAACCGATCTAGAAGATGAACAGAAGCCCATCCATGATAAGACAGTGTTTGATGATGCCATAGAACAAGCAGAAGATCAAGAAAAGAAAGTCTCAGCTGAAGCAAAGAACATAAATGTTGAAGATCAGCCAGAAGGTCCTGATTCCATCAATGGTCCTGTGAAAGATGAGCTTAAAAGAAGATCAGAGGTCAAGTTTGAGATCACGAAAGTCATCATGATTGACAACAGTGAAAATGAAGAGGAGCCCGACGATGACGCTAAGCAACGGCTGGATGAGTTTGTGCAAGAGAAGAAAATTAGTAATATTGAACAAGAGAGCTTCGAAGAGGTCCTTCCAGAAAAGGTACAGAGGAGGGTGAGGGCTACAGGACTCGCTCGTTCCGAATTAACAAGGATCGTCCCATTGAAACCCGAGAGGGCAAAGAGTCAAGGGTACAAAGATGATCTAGACATCGAGGAAGAGTCTGAACTGAAGAAAAGACATTTTAAGAGATACAGCATGAATGAATCTATAGAGAGACAATTTGATCCGAGTAGATTTGATAGCCGGGACGCAAGCTCTTCACATACTCTTACTTCTGTTAAAGCGAATAGATGTCAAGAGGACTCGAGTTTATCCATGCTGGACCATAACGTCTTCCAAAGCTTTGAGCTGCAGTCATCAGTATACAGTGAGTACTCGCTAAAAGGAAGTGCCGTTCAGGATGAAGAAGTGTTGAAATACTCCACCAAAGTAGGGTCTGAGGATCTGCCCCAGCCTGATGATGGAAGCATTGAGGCCCAACAGCTCGCCTCCAAAATCACAGGGCTTCAGAAAAGTACTCCTCCAACTCCTCCTGTCAAAACCAAGAAGGCCAGAGAATCAGGACTGATACTTCGCAACAGCCGCAATGCCGGCAAAGATCCAGCACTGGAAGCCGCCGGGAGGAAACATGGGGTAACTCTCCTCGGCGTCTTCTGTTTTTCAGTTATTGGAAACAAAGCATCGCATGAGCTTCCGATCGACTCACACATTCATCATTTTCCTTGTTGTGACATGAACATTTGTTTATCCTCTCCTCCAGTCCATGAAGAGAGGGGTTGGAGAAGGCCACATCGGTTTTGGCTTTTTGTTACATTGACTTGAGACCATTTGGAAGCCCTCACTGCCCTATTTGGCCCAACCTGCTTATACATTGGGCCACTCCACCCAACAGCAAGCAGTGGCATTAGCATGCTTTTTGGCCTTTTGCTTTGATATCCCCTCTCTTCAGAAACCCGAGCCTTGGTTTTTCCTTCCAACCAAGCGTCTACAAGAGCTCGATTGTGGAGGCGTTGCAAGGAAACCCAGGCTCTTGCATAATGCCATGGCTCTGAGCTACTCAGGACTTCTCCATGCTGTTTGTTGCATACGCCGGATATGCAGAAGAAGTCAATGAGTTCAGACATGGTTTGCGTTGCGTTAAAGATTATATGGAAATCTGTTTGCTATGCCATTTCTCATCCATGATGTTCCTGTAGAAAAACAGCAGCGCTCATTTCCATAGTAGATCTGTTATCGCATACTAAGGACCATCTGCAGTAAATTTGCAGATATAAACATGCAGGTAACTCATAGAATCCAAAATTCAATAATCGCTTGGCCGTTATTTGTTTCTCATTGAGCTACTGTTCTTTTACAGCACATTATGTGATGTACTTCATAAAGACAAATGTATGCTGCATGAGGATTGCATATTACTGCACAAAGCAGACAACCGGCATGAGACTGCTTAGCTTGTCCTCCTCGCTCTCCGACACAGACCCTGCTGTATTCTCACACTTTGATTAGGCGCAAACACATTTTTTGGCTGCGGAATGAAAGGAATTTGAATTAGGCCGAGGATCTGACGACTCAAATCGCGTCCCTGCTTTCATCTGAGGTTTGGGGACACACTGGCATGAAGGAGCGTGGAGAGTGGCACCATGTGTGAGCCAGTGCGCTGAGAAGTGATAAGCATGTGAGAGCAGCGTAATCTCACACACTGCGATTGCCGAAAACAGTACGTGTCTGCGGACAAGCCTTTGCATCGCATTGATCTCGGTTGGTTTGATTGCCCAACATAGGCTCTCAAATGACAAATGAAAGCAGACACTGTGACATAGAGTGCCAGTGAAAATTCAGTACCTTTCACAGAAAGCATCTCCACTGGATGGTGCTTGAGATTCCTTTAAATTGTTATGGATCCTCTGTGGTAGCATCAACTCTGCTTATGTTCCTGCTAACGTGAGACATTTCGCTTTGCTCCTATTAACCCTGTAAGCTGACTCTTGACAATGGATGTTATGTTCCATTTTCAATGGCCATAATGATATATTGCAACACACATTTTGTTCTGTTTAAGCTATTGGACTAAATGTTTCTTTCATTCTAATGAATGGTGACTTCAGTCTGAAATGGAATTGGACCCTAAAGTCTCTCTAGTAATTCGTCAAAATTTAGATCGTGATCAGTTTTAAGGAACGGTTTTGGCCTTTACTTAGCACCTAGTAGTCATGGGGGCCAGATGTGACCTCATAGTGAAAACACATGTCAGGGTTACACTGAACAATTTGGGTTCAAGGACAAATTGCGATTTTCGGACCAATATTCTGTCTGCAGTTCAGATTGCAATTATTTTTTTTTTCTGAGGCTAAAAATCCAGTATATAATTGTTTTCTGGCTTGAAACTGAAAGTTAGGTTAGTTGTGTAGTTGTGGTGTTATGTGCTAACTCATCTGGGATGGCACTTCGGCAACGGCAACATTGAAGGCTTTGCTTAAAGCTGAAGCTCCTGCGGCTTCAAATAGTGATTTCAATATAAATAATAATTAAAAACATACACATCTGGGGACAACTAGTTACACAAGTTCAAAATATAATCAATAACAAGCAAAACAAGCCAGCTAGTGAAATCTGTTGTTAGCTAATGCTCATTCTTTAAAATTATTTTAGTTTTAGTTTTGTCAGACATCAAATCAGTTGGTCTATTTGATACCATAAATACGCTTCTAAAACAACCCCATTTCCAAAAAAGTTGGGATGCTTTTCAGAATGTAAATAAAAATAGGACGCAATCATATGCAAATCATGTAGACCATGTTTTTAAAGGAAAGTACTACAAAGACAACATATCAAATGTTGAAACTCAGAAATGTTATGCACATTTTGTATTTGATGCCAACAACACTGACAAAGTGAAATGTTTTGTCATTCTTATTTGATACAGGATTTCAGCTGCTCAACAGTTCGGGATCTCCTTTGTCATATTTTTAATTCCATAATGTGTCAAATGTTTATAGTGGGTGACAGGTCTTCCCCTCAGTCCATTTTAAATGAGCTCAGGCCCAGAGAAGGTGGCAGCATTTCTGGATCCTTTTTATATTTTGTTTCTTTTTTGCGTTTTAGAGTTTTAACTTGCATTTGTGGATGCAGTGATGAACTGTTTTCACAGACAGTGGTTTTCAGAAGTGTTTCTGAGCCCATGCAGTGATTTCCACTACAGAATCATGTCTGTTTTTAATGCAGTGCTGTCTGAGGGCCCAAAGATCACGGCCAGCAAATACTGGTTTTTGGTCTTGTCCCTTACATACAGAGATTTCTCCAAATTCTCTGAATCTTTTAATGTTATTATGTATAGTTGTCGATGAAAAGCAAAAGTTCTTTGCTATTTTATTTTGAGAAACGTTATTCTTGAATTGTTGCACTATTTGATTGTGCAGTCTTTCACAGAGTGGTGAACCCCTCTTCATCTTTACTTCTGAAAGACTCCGCCTCTCTGAGATGCTCTTTTATACCCAATATTGTTACTGACCTGTTGCCAATCAACCACCAGATGTTTTTTTAGCCTTACACAACTTTACCAGCCTTTTGTTGCCCCCGTCCCAACTTTTTTTGGAATGTGTTGTTGGCATCAAATTCAAAATAGCATATATTTTTCAAAAATAATAAAATTTCTCAGTTTCAACATTTGATATGTTGTCTTTGTATGATTTTCAATGACATAGAGGGTTTAAATGATTTTCACATGATTGCATTTTGTTTTTATTAACATTTTGCACAGGGTCCCAACTTTTTGTTGTACTATGTTTGAAGATAATAATGCAGGTATGTGATATCTCCTAAAGCTAAAGCATTGTCTGGTTCAACTGAACTGTATATTAATATCTTATGTAATGAGTTCTCGGAACACATCCATATGAATTTTTTATGGGAAGTCTTAGCCATGCTAACTTGCATTACATCTGAGAGCTAATGATGAACGCACCATCGCTACCTACTTTGAGCTCTGCCTTCATGAGGAATTGGATAGGTTTAGAAATGCCGCACTCAGTTTGTTTTGAACCTAATAAGTTGGTTGTCCTTAGACCTTCTTATTATGAGATCACATCTGGCCCCAAATGGTTGTTCCACTGGTTTTAAAAGACATTATTTTCCTACGACAAGCTTTTGAAAATGAAATAAAAAACATTTCCTTCAAACTAAACCGAGAACATACGCTTTCTTAAAATGCTTTTGGAGAACTGAAGGACCCGAGAGATCCACAGAATATAGACGTCTTGCAAAGCTGATTGATCCAAAGGAACGATTAGGATGCCTCCTGAAGCTTTTTTCCTGATTGCGTTCTCATCCACTTCCTCGCAGAGTGCTTTATCTAACAATCTGCAGTATGCAGCTCATAAAATGTGGCTTCCTCTGTTTCTTGTTGCATTAGTGGAAGTAACTCAAGGCTGCTCTCTTTCTGCTTTCTGCCCATACAGGAGCCTCTTTCCACTCCTGCCATTCATGAAGAAACACTAGATGAAGTCAAGGTCTTTCAAATTCTCTGATTCCAAGGCCGTTTATGTGTCTTAGCTGATTGTTTCTTGCATGGCTTTGTACGTAATTCATCGTGATTTCTAATGTCATTTTTTTTTAGTACATTTAAGTGCAAAATAATCAGTGTACTTCCATAGACCTCCATTCACTCGCTCCATTCATGTCCTTGGACCTTGCTGTCCTCTGTGATTCTGAATCTGTTCCATTCTATTTCAGGTACAGTCCTATTCAAAAGGTTTTCATATTAAAATAGTTACTTTTATTCAGTAGTGACTTGCGCAGTGTAGATCAGAATAGTGTTAACTAGAAGCCAAAAGGTATTCCCTGCTTGATTCTAGGTGTGAGTGTGTGTGCATGTGTATGTCTGTGTGTCTGCACTGTGATGGACTGGTGACCTGTCCACAGTGTTTCCAGCTTTCTGCCCAGTGAGTGCTAGGATAGGCTCCAGCACCCCCCACGACCCAGGAGGATAAGCGGCTTAGATGATGAGGTTTTTCGGAAACAATGATAAATATATGATCTGTAAGCTAATAAATACATCCAGACTAGTATTAGCGTAACTCTTACTTCGGCCATCAAACTAAATCATAAAGAAACAGTTTCATAAAATCATAAAGAAGCAGTTTTATCTTTATTCAGAGAGGCCAGAGACAAGTTTTTAAGCTTTCAGCCAGAGAACAGAGAAAAGAAGCCAAACTTTAGCTTTTAGCTTGCTGACCTCCTTATCTGATGGGTAATTTCTGTTGATTGCATAATCCATTTCCCCCACTGTTACGATAGTTTAAAGACTTACTATAATTATACAGCCGCAATAATCTGGCTTCCTGGCAGTAATGTTAGCTATCTGGCTTGCTTCTGCATGTACAAGCTAAAAAGCCCCCACAAATTCACAAGTTCCGCCCATCAACATGCATCGCTAGAAGGGGATTTTCCTGTTATTTACCCTGGAAAAATCCCACTCTTTAGATTGTGGCCTAGTTGTAGGATCATTGTTTTGAGAGACGGTTTCAAACTTTTGAATGGTAGTGACTGTTTAGTTTGGAGCATAATTCAGTGTTACACCCTCCATGCTGTATACGCCATCCTCTTCTTCATCTAGATCTCATGCTTAGTCTCCTCTGTGAGACACATGTCAGCGGAGTGTCCTTGTGTTTATCCTAAATTCAACCTAAAGAGGGTCCACATCATCTTTTCCACCAGGCTCCATTCCCTCATTTATATCAGTGGACGAGTAACCCCTCTGTTTCCACAGCGACGGCCACACTCTTCCGCTGAGGACGAGCGCGAGCGGGACAGTGCAGTAACCCTGAGGGAGACGCACCTGAGCATCGAGCGCAAGTGCTCCAGCATGACGGTCAGTTCCACGTCCAGCCTGGAGGCCGAGGCTGACTTCACCATGCTTATGGAGCTCCACGGAGGCTCCGAGGAATTCTCCAGAGCCGCAGCTGAAGTGGGGAGGGAAGACTTTGAGGAAACCTCCAGGTTCTACTCCGCCCGGCTCATGGGCTCTCACGACCGGTCGCCCATGAAGGAGAGAGTGCACGAGGAACGCGCCCACCATGAAACGGAACCTGTAAGAAGCCGTTTCGTCTCCTTCGTTTGTGCCTGCCCGTGGATCGCATCTTCAGAAATCATCCTTTTTCTTTGGACCATCTTTTTATTGGATGTTGTTTTCATTTTCCGATGACGGATTCATTTTTTTGTTTTGTTATTTCCATGTTTTTGTGCCTTAAGTTGACTTTGTTATTTTGCCATTTTTATGCTTTCTTTTTAAGACACACATTTGTTTAAGATTTAGTCATGGTTCCTTCTTCATCGTGTTCTTTTTGGTTATATTTATTTCCGTGATGTTTTCTGTTTTATTTTGGGTTGACTTTGTGTTGCCAATTTTTATGCTTCCTTTATTGCATGTTTTTAAGATTCGTTGTTCATCCTGTTCTTTCAAAGAGTGTCCTACACCTGTTCAGCCTTAAATTAATGTGCCTTTCAAATGCCTGCAGCCTGCTTTGTTCATAAATAATGTTAGGGAACATTCCTTTGGAGTTACAGTGGCATTGTCCCCACTCAACATTATTCAAAAGGAAATTAAGGAGGTACTTGAATTTATTTAATAAAGTAATGGTCTTGTAAACGTTTGTTTCCCCTCAGCCACCGGTGGCCAAGAAAGACCCTAACGCTGTGAGTGTGGCCCACCTGCTTAGAAAGGGAGAAGCCAGAGTGGAACCACATTCAAACGGCTCTGAAATCCTCCCCTCCGTTACAGACGCCCCAGATCAGGTGAGAGAGAAACTGCATGTGATTTGCCACAATTTAGTGTAAACATGAATCATGTAGATTAGTGGCTGCATATAATTATCAAACAGGGGTGAATAAATTGGTGAGTTGGTGATTCAATAATACAGATATTTATTAGCTACTGATAACTGAATTACAGCATAACACAGTTAGAACGTTAGAATCAATTACAATATTCAACTATGCGCTTATTTTTTTGGCCAAAAATAAAATCTTAGGCTATTTTCAAATTCAGAAATCCAAAAAAAAGCTCTAGCACAGTTATTTTTCCAGTCACATTTATGTATTCAGAACATATTTAAAAATCATTCTGGATCATATCACAATAACTGAATTGTATTAGAGGTTCCGAAGTTGTTAGTTGTTAATTGTTTCAGATCTTGGAACAACATTTATATAAGACAAAGACAACCTAACTACACACAAAATACAGTTTTTAAACGATTTCGTTTCATTTCATCAAAGAAAAAGTTAACCTACATCAACTGGCCTGTGTGAAAAAATAATTGTCCACCACCAATAAACCAAATTTAGTTGATAATTGGGATCAGTTGAACCAGACACACCCAGACTTCATTACTGCCAGCCCTGAATTTAAATATCACTGAAATAGAACCTTTCCAGCAATGTGAAGTAGGTTAAAAGGTTTCTACAAGCAGCGATCAAAAGAAATTCTGGAAGACAAGAGAAAAAAGATCTTGAAAGAGCTTCAAAGCCATTTCTGAAGATCTGGGACTCCAGTGGACCACAGTGAGAGCCATTATGTCCAAATGGAGAAAACGTGGAACAGTGGCCGGTCTACTGAAATTCCTCCAAGAGAACAGTGGCAACTCATCCGGGAAGTCACAGAAGAAACCAGACAAACATCTAAGGAACTGCAGGCCTTGCGTACCTCAGATAAGGTCAGCAAGGTCAGGATCCATGATTCCACCATTAAAAAGAGACTGGGCAAAAAGTGGTATCCATGGTGAAGACAACTGCTAACCAAGAGAAACGTAAAGTCTCATCTCACATTTCCCACAAAAAAAAACCTTTGATGACCAAGAAGCTCTTTGAAGTAAAGATCGGTGGACTGTTAAGTTGAAAGTGGGGCTATTTGGAAGATGGGTTTGGTTACATCTTGCATAAAGCTAACACAGTATTCCACGACGGGACCGTTATACCAACAGTAAAGCATGATGGTGGTAGTGTGATGGTGTGGGGATGCTTTGCTGCTTCAGGGCCCGAGCGACTTGGCAAAATTGACGCAACCATGGATTCTGCTCTCTACCAGAAAATCCTGCAGGAGAATGTGTGGTGATCAGTTTGTGACCTGAAGTTCAAGAATCCACCTGTGAATTGCTCAAAAGAAAAAAGTTAAGGTTTTAAAATGGAATAGTCAAAGTATTGACTTGAACCCCGTTGAGATGCTGTGGCACAACCTTAAATGCTCGAAAGCTCTCCAGTGTGGCTGAATTAAAGCAAGAGTGGGTCAATATTCCTCCACAGCGACACGAAACACTCCAGTTTGGTTGCAGTTGTCGCTGCAAGTTATTAAGTTTAATGGGCAATTACTTTTTCACCTTGGTCATATTAGTGTCGCAAAACTTTTTCCTTCAGCAAATGAAATGATCATTTGGGTGACCATTTAGTGTGATAAATATACGAAAACAGAGGAAATCAGAGCGCTGTAGACAGCTTTATAGATTTAGGTGCTCCGTTGCTGTAGAGCCCTTATTATTTACTTGGTTTGGTGCCGTTTGGTCATTACATAATACACTGATTTCACAAAGACAAATGCTTTGGTAACATTTTTCCAACAGCTGTTTCCTTTGTAACTCTTAATTCTAGCAAATGCAGTATTTTCTGTTGCTGGTTGACGGTGCCGGGACAGCGTTAGGAGATTAGAAAATCAACAGGAAATTAATGAGAAAGAAGGAAGACGATTCATTAATCTCCAGAGGCTGCGAGTGGGTCTGTGTGTGTGTGTGTGTGTGTGTGTGTGTGTGTGTGTGTGTGTGAGTGAGTGACTGAGCGAGTGCATTTGTGTGTACCCCACAGGTGTCTTATTAAAATTTAATCACAGCATTCCACTGCGCCATTCATCTTGCTAACCTGATGAGCCGAGGCAATTATTTTTAGAGGATGTCTTTGAAGTTGCTCGAGTAAGTCTCGGAGAGGCTAAGCGTTAGGTGTGCGCAGAAACGCTCAGGAGACTGAGCGGAGACAGTGTCGGCGCTCTGGTGTTCTAATGTAGACATGCGTGTATCGGCAGCCTGTGCAGGAGGTGCTGCAGGGTGGTGGTGACGTCAACTGTGAGGAGACCGTGGTCTCCAACAATGATGTCATCCAGCCACAGGAGGGAGATATGGTATGTTTCCCTCTTTGCCTTAGCTTAGCATGTGTGAAGGGAAGCTCTGCTCTAAGTGTTATCTGTCCTTGTTCTCCAGTATGTCTATGTAGGCTTCACTTTTCTGTTTTCTATGTGTGGCATACAGTGTTTTTCCACAGATTGGTCAATGCCGTGGTGCTTGTTTGGAGGAAACGGTGTTGCTTTTCTGTGTGAATGCAATGGCGAGCTGCTTTTTCTTGTAAATCCACATTGAAAACTGTCTCCCCTGCTATTTCCTGTTCAACTCCCTTCTTGTGTAACCACACTGCCCTCTACTGGCCAACCAGCTGAACTGTTGCTCTTATTAAAGGGGCCATATCTTACATATCTTACATATTTCAAGTGGATAACTTTTGCCACGTGTTTGGGTTTATGTACCACATAACCTCCTCATCCCTTAGAACAGTGGTTCCCAAGCCTTTTACAGTCCTCTACCCCCTCAAGCATTAGACCTCCTTTTGCAAATCCCTTCTCGCTCCTTTCACAGTCATTTGCATATTGTTACTCCAGTGTGTATCAAAACATGTTTATGATGACACAACACACCAGATGTTCTGAATAATACTAAAAAAACTGAACAGTGTTTCTAAGACCACCTACATCTAGGCTAAAGACATTCAAACCCAGTTTTTCACTGTACAGATTTCATGTTATCATACATTTCTTTTGGCAAGTCAGTTACAGCATTCAGTTTGTTTACAGCATTTTTATATTTAATCATTACAGCTGATTAAAGACTCTTATTTAAGATTTATTTAAGCTTTAATTCAATATATAAGGGTTCCAGTGGGTTGAAAGTATACACAAAGTATGCAGCCTGTCTTTTTAAACAGCCTGGACGATTGCAGAAATTTATGTAACGACTGTTCGGCCAAATGTCATAAATAAAAGTTAATAAGCAACGCACCTGTGGCTGTTTTTAAAGGGCCTACCTTTGGAGGCTTTGCCTTTTTGCTCTTAATACTATGGGAAAATCCAAGCAATTCAGCCAAGACCTCAGAAAAAAAATGATGGACTTCCACAAGTTCGGCTCCTTCTTAGGAGCAAATTCCAAACAGCTTTAGGTACTACAAGCATCTGTATACACAGTTGTATGCAGATGTAAAAGTATTGAGACCACTCAGGCACTGCATCATTCCTGAAAGAGGCAGAAATTAGTTCCTGAGCATGAGCAAACCTTTCGAAAGGTTCCATTGATCCCTGGGATGACAGCAACAAAGGAAATGAGAGAGTTGGAGGCTTTAGGTACCAAAGAATCTATTTTCTCCATTAAAAGAGTCCATATTGCCACAGCCAGAAAGGCTGTCACACAAGGAAGAAGCCTAAAATACTCCAGGACTGGCATAAAAAGCCAGACTGAAATTTGCAGGTGATCGCCAGCATTTGAAGAAGCATTCTCTGGTCAAATGAAACAAAAATTAAACTGTTTATCCACAATGATCAGTGCTATGTATGGAGGACAAAAGGTAAGGCTTTTGATCTAAAGAACACCATCCAAACTGTGAAGCATGGGGGTGGCAGCATCATGTGGGTGTTCTGCTGGAGAAAGGCTAATTGGTGCACTTTAGAAAATAGATGGCATCATCTATTACCTAGAAATACTGAAGCAAAAACAAGACATCAGCCAAAAAGTTAAAACTTAGTCACAGCTGGGTCTGTCAGCAGGACAGTGATCCTAAGCATGTGACAAAATGGCTTAAAAACAACAAAGTGTAAGTGTTGGAGTGGCCATCACAAAACCCTGACCTGAGTCCCATAGAAAATATGTTGACTGAATGTGTCAACATATTGTCCAAGCAGAGTTACATCAGTTCTCTCAGGACTACTTGGCAAATATTCCAGCAAAGTGCTGTGAGAAGCTTGTGGAAGGCTACACTAAGCATTTGATTCAAGTTAAGCAATCAAAAAGGCAGTTCCACCAGTGTATGTAAGCATTTGACCCACTGAAAATAAGTAAACAAAATCTGAAATAAATCTTTTAGCTGTATTTTTGAAATGACTTCTAGTGGAAATAAAGTAGATACCCTTGACTGAATACAAGAAATATATGATAACACGAGGAGTAATATGTGGAGGAAAAATTGAGTTAGGCCAGCTGTATGTAAACCTTTGGGCTGCAGGTGAACTGTAGGTGGTTGACTCTGGGTTGCTGGTCAGAGCACAGGAATCGATTTCTAATCACAAAGGCAGCAGCACAAGCATTATTAATATGAGGACACATGTATGTGTAAGAGAGTTGTAAAATGAACAGCTGTAAAATAATAATAAGTTCTAATTTATTAATCCCACAACGGGGAAATTCACCTCCGCATTTAACCCATCTGTGCAGTGAAACACCACATACACACTAGTGAACACGCATGCATTAGGGGGCAGCAAGCACACTTGCCCAGAGCGGTGGGCAGCCCTATCCACAGCGCCTGGGGAGCAGTTGGGGGTTAGGTGTCTTACTCAAGGGCACTTCAGTCATGTACTGTCTGCTCAGGGGATTGAACCAGTGACCTTCCAGTCACAAGGCTGGTTCCCTGACCTCCAGCCCAGAGTAGCACTACAAATATGTCAACAAATTGCTAAACAGGCTACAGACTAATAATATAACTGCAAACTAAGCCTATAATGAAAGCACTGAAAGTAAAACTTAAATACACAACTAACAAGGAGAATACATGGCTTGGCAATAAGGTCAAAGATACTCAAATCATTCACACACAGGTAACTCTACTGAAGCGGAACACCTTCTCCATTAATACAAATAATATTAAATATCAAATAAAAAGATCTTGTATCGCACTCGCTCATCCATACAAGCCATGTATACAAGTAGATCATAAAAGCTTGATACAGACTTCAGTTTGTTGATAGATGTGCTGTTTTAACATCTCAATAGTGTTTAGTTTGTCACAGATACTCTGCGTTTAATGCTTTCCAGAAATCTTACATTGACTTTTGATGAAACCTAGTAATTTCAGTGATGCCTTCTTGCTCAGCGGTTGGTGAATGGAGTGCAGGATTGGCAGAGCTCTTTGTGCTCTGTATATCAAGGACATAGCTGTGTAATTGCACAGCCAGCTAATGGAATGGAATTAAATGAGGACTAAATTAAGTGTAAATGGCAGAAATTGTAGACATACCTTCAACATCATTGGCCATAGCCCTGGGGGTCGAATACTCCAGTTTGGGAGCCACAGCCTTAGAATTAAACATGAGGTAATGCAAATGACCTCTGTTCTGATTGGCTGCCCTGTATTATTCACACATTATTCAAAATGCAGTTCAGCCTGAAACATTTTTAAAATTTCATGAACACAAATGGACGGGGCTAAACTGCTGTAGGCGGCATAGAGGCTTATACTGCCCTGTGAAAAAGTTTGAAATGCAAATTACGTTTTGTTGATTTTCTACAAAGCGCAAAACACACTTCTGCACAGTTTAATGCAGAATGACTGTGTGCTGAATTTATCATACTGGGAAAAAAATAATAACCTGGGTAAAAGTTATGGCTCATTTTATTCAGGGTGTTTTAAAAAGATTAATCTGATTTCAAAGCGCCGTATTTTTACAGCTGAGAGGCGCCTAGGAACCAATCACAATCCAATTGAAAGAGGGGGTCATAGAGTTTCTGACTGTCAGTGGAAGATGGCTCCCTTCAGTCTGAGAGGATATGAGACCCCTGAGCAGAAAGCGTTCTGCGTTCTCCTCTTCAATAAGAGTGAATCCGTCATAACTGCAGCGTGATTTTCATGGGCAGTGAAGCTCCAACAGCTCAGAGCGTTCGTCGTTGGTTCCACAACACTGGATGATCTCCGAAATCGCACTGAAAGAGCCGTGAGGGCAGCGACACCCGACATGCTCAATCCAGTATGGGATGAATTTGACTATGGTGTTGATGTTGTCTGTACAGCTGGAGGAGGTTCATATTGAGACCTTGTACAATTACATAATAAACTTTATGTTCATTAAACCATTTACAGTTCACTGCATTGATCTGTAATGATTTACAAGAGAAATAAATCATTTTGAAATCAGATGAATCTTTTTGAATCACCCTGTATTTTAGGTTTTATTTTTTTACCAGTATGTTAAACCCAAATAAACATGAATTGTACACTGAAAACTGTAGAAATATGCCATGTTTAATTTTGTTCCTTGTAGAGGATGTTTTGTCTCATTTTTATGTAGAAATTTAACAAAACATTGTTTATCCAGGGGTGTTCAAACTATTGCGTGCAACACTATGCAAGTTCACTGTTTTTCGTGACATCACAAAAACAATTCATTCAAAAAAGCTCTTTTAACATCTTAATTTCCATATTTGGACTATATGGACCAGGGAGTGAGTGGTACATTTTGAAACATACACAGAAACAAGTTGAGGTTTCAATGATATGGGCCCTTTAAGATACAACACTGCCATCTACTGTTCAACTCTCTGTTTGTTTCGGACTCTTTGTCTGTTTACTGTTGCTTTCCATCTAAATTGCTGTTTGCGAGGTGTAATCTGATACATGCTTAGTAATGAGGGCCATTTATAATCTCCTGTCTCACCAGTTCTCTCCCATTATCTGTTCCAGAGCCAGAGAGACAGCAGGATAAAGGAAACTAAAGAGAACGGCTCCCCTGTGAGTGTGACACACACACCAGGCAACCAAAACACGCTATTATTCATAATGACTTCTAGAGGTTTTACCAAAGACTATTTGTCTAAAAGTTTCTTCTTTGTCTAAAAAACATTTCTTCCAAAATTAAGAGTATTAATACAGAGCTTGTCCTCCTTTAGTGCAGTAACAGCCTCTGCTCTTGTGTGAAGGCTTTAAACTAGATGTTGGAACATTGCTGTGAGGATTTGATTGAGCATTAGTGAGGTCAGGTTACTGATTTTGGATGGTCAGTTCTGGATCACTCCGACTCATCCCAAAGGTATCGGGTGGAGCTCCATAACAGAGAACACATTTCCACTGCTCTACAGCCCATTGCTGGGGGGGTCTAAACCCCTCCAGCCGACACTTTTATACTAATGCTGTTTGCAATCCAGTGCCGACCAGAGGAGGGTGGGTTCCCCTTCTGAGTCTTGGTTCCTCTCAAGGTTTCTTCCTCTTGCTCTTAGGAAGTTTTTCCTTGCCACTGTCGCCATTGGCGATGCTTACAGGGACTCGGACCCGGATTTTTCTGTAAAGCTGCTTTGTGACCACCTGTTGTAAAAAGCGCCACATAAATAAACTTTGAGTTTGACTTGGTATTGAACATGGTGATCTTGGACTCATGGACTCAATTCTGTTAGCGATGCTTTTCTGTTGAAATTAAACCAGTTGCTTACGCACGACTAAACACTTGTGTCAGCAATAGGTGCACCTTAAAGTAACCAAATTTACTCAAAGGGCTGTCTGGATAGTTTGGGATATATAGTGTTCGTCATAAGCCACTGTTTTTCTGTTCTCCTCAGGAATTTATACACAATTATGATTTTAAATGATGTGTTTGTGTGCTGGAATTGAAGAGCTGTAGTAACCCTGCTGTTGTACGGCTCTTTTCCAGCTGAAAACAGGCAGTCTGGGTCGCGAGTCTGTCACGTCTCCTCTCACCATCACCAATGAAAATGTTACCTCAGCAACTACAACTCAAGTCACCAAGGTAACGCAGCTGTTATTTAACCAGCATTAATTGAACAAACATGTCCTCTGTGTGTGTTTTGTGGAGTTGCTTTCCAGTTGTTTTCAGTTAGAGACACGTATTTTGTTGGCCTGGTGCCTTGTGTTCCATGCGCGCTGCGTAGGTGCCCTGAGTTGACCAAAGTTTAATTCAAAGCAGTATAGTGGCTTTTTTTGACTGGCTGCTCAATATTGTGCCTTGTTTAAAAAGCAGCCTTTTTTGTCTCACTACATTCAGACAGAATTTCTCTGACCTTCAGAAAGTCCTTTTAAAAGGAGTGAATCCTTTTCAAGGTTGCAATGATATATTTGCTTCCTGAAAGCCACGAACAGCACAGCATTTGAACGTTTTCCCCACATCTTGCACTCTGATCATTCTGCAACACACTGTCTGCAGGAACATCACTGTGCATCACATCAGTGTGAATAGTCTACACTTCTGTAAGCTGAGTGGGAAAGCATATGTAGATAGACAGAGAGGTAGGTAGATAGGTAGATTCAACGTTATTGTCATTGCTCAGTACAAGTACAAGGCAAAGAAATGCAGTTAGCATCTACCAGAAATGTACATAATAGTAATAGTGCAAAACAGACAGTACACACTGATGTGGTGGTGGTGTTAGTGTGTATTGTGCTGGTCTGAGTGGATCAGACACTTGTACCAGCACAACACACACTAACACACCACCACCACATCAGTGTTACTGCAGTGCTGAGAAAGATCCCAAATAGTACCTGCTCTGTGAGGGTCCATGGGGGTCCTGACCACTGAAGAACAGGGTAAAAGGGGGCTAACAAAGTATGCAGAGAAACAGATGGACTACAGTCTGTAACTGTAGAACTACAAAGTGCACCTATATAGTAAGTGGAGCTGATAAAATGGACAATGAGCGTAGAAACAAGGAGGTGGTCATAATGTTATGCCTGATCGGTGTGTGTGTATACACTCATTCATAGATGTGACATCACAGTGTCTACAGTAGTAATCATTATATGAATAAAAATGTGATGCTGTGCAGTGTGCAGGCTGCTTTTTAATAAGTTGCTAATGAGCTACTTACACAAAGAATGAATTCAAGTGTTCATATCCTTTGTATACAAGCATCTGTGTCGTACAAATGAATCATCAATTAATCAAGTAACCTAAATGTAAGTATAGTGTGGCAATAATTTATGCAGCTAATTTGCATAATCCCTGAAAGCAGCAGGCTAACACGCCACACACTTCCATTTAGGTGTATTATTTAGGAAAACTCAATGCTGTCAGTATAACTTATGAAGAAAAGGCTGAGAACATTAGGAAGAGATGCCCGAGAGCCTACCTACTCGGGTGATGTGGATGTACTGCAATCTGCAGTAAACCGTAATAAAATTTCAGTAGAAGCCCCCAGGCTTATGGCATCATGTCCCTGCAGTCAATTTGGTTTGCTAGTGAGATTAGCAGGATGCCTATCAGACTAATTACATCTGCCAGCTTGAGTCACGCATCCTCTATTCACTTATGTGAGAAATTAACTTTCTTTCTTTCTGCAAAGGCAGTGGATAGCAGACAGAACTTAGGGTCTGTTTTAATACTTCACTCACAGCAGTATCGACGTGCCCTCGCCATTTCCCCTTGGAGGGATTGCTGATGCAATCATAAGGACTGTTCCACTGCTGTATTGGCTCTAATGAAGATTGTTAGACGAGCTCTTGGAGGAGTGATGGATCAGGTCGACATAAATGCAGAGTTCACCAGCAGAATGTGCCCAGAAATCACTGCAATTTGACACACTTTCCTTTGTAAACTCAAAAAAACTGTGAACAAAGCTGTTTCTGAGCCAGAGCAATAAAATAAGTAATACTTTAATATTGTAATATTCACTTTGCTGATGTTACTCTACACTGCTACTCTGCTAGCTTGCTACTTAGCTAGATCAGGGGCTACACGGCTAGCAACAACAACAACAACAAGGGCAATGCACCCTGGTTCTCATTCCAAATCTACCTCTTATTGACCAGGGTATATTTTGGTTTGTCCATCTGAATTTACATGACCAAATCATAAGGCAAATTATTCAGTAACTGCATGAAATTAATGTACATTTTTATTTTATTTATTTATTTGTTTATCTATTTATTTATTTATTGTAAAAGCTCCCCTCAAATTAACAGAACATGTGTTTTATGATCACACTTATTGCTATATGCTTACAATTTACTGCTGAAAGCCAAAAATCTTAGTCTTAAATCTTTGTATTATTTTATAAGAATAATGTATACAGAGCAGATCACTGAAGAGACGCCATCTGTTTATAGTTTATAGCCCAGATTTGTGGAGAAATCGGTCGACTTTCAGTAGAAAAAAAAAAAATTGTCAGTTCAGCTTCTTTTATTATAAGGGTTTAAAATGACATCACCCATCTATTTGACTGGAAAGAAGACAGTTACAGCTCTCATACGACCCCCAGCTTTAGAATGTAGCTTATGAGATATGAAAGTTATGAAGAATATGACGCAGTGCGTTTTGGAACCACCGGTGGTCACAAGGCGTTTAAAAGGTTAAGCCAGGCAAAGCGTTTACTTACAAAGTCCAGATGTTATGCTTGGACTTCTCAAAAAACGTTTGGTAACACATTACCGTGTTCACAAGCCCTATATGACACCTACAAAAGCCCATCGTGACAGAGCTGTACATAAACATTTCTAAACACCTATTTCAGGAAGTGTTATTTGTGATTAAGGTTGCATTTTCCAACTTTGATGTCTAGTTGATATAACAACAACATAACACGTCAGGTGACGTTGATATTTTCTAGATCAGACACAGCAGAGCTGCTGGTCTTTTTAAACGCTTCAGTGTAACTGCTGGACTGAGAAGAGCCCACTACCCAAAAATATCCAGCCAATAGCGTCCTGCAGACACTGATGAAGGACTAGAGCAGGGGGGTCAAACTCAACGAGTAAAAGGGCCATATTAGAAAATCTCAACAAATCTGTGGGTTTTTTATTTCTTTTTCTATTAATGTTGTTCTATAACCCAAACCAGCCATTGTTTATTCAAAATCCGCAATAAATTCAACAGTAAAATACAGGCACTTGTTGTGGACCTTGAAATATTACATAAATACTTGAAATATTCAAAGTTTAAATGTCCTCAGGAGCTCAGTCACTAAACTAGGCCCCTGGCATCCTTACTTTGTTGCAAGTTCATTAAAACTTGGGCTCAATTTCTGTGTTTATCGCTGCTGTCAAAAGAAAACCTTGTATCTCTATTTGTGTCATTTTACAGTTTTTGTCAAAATTTGAAAATGCCTGTTGGGCTTCACCTTGTATGTAAATTTCATGAAGAACGGACCAAAAGAAACGGCCCAAAATGACTTGGAAAAATGTCTGTTTCTATTGACTTACATTAAGAGTAAAGTAGGTTTTTTCCTTCTCCTGTAAAGTTACCATTTTGGAGATACGAGGTTTTGTTCTGACAACAGCGATATATCGGTTGAGCTGCAGCTGAAATGCAGTTAGTGTGTTTGGTGATATGAGTGGTGTGGAATTGCGTAGAATTGTGTAGAATTGAGGTGTAACTGCTGTCCCATAGGGTAGTAGAGTCAGAGCGCACATTATGTTGCAGTGCATGCTGGGGACCGTAGTGTAGTGCATTGCGAAACAGGCTAATACCTTTGCGGGAATGAGAGGATTGTGTCAGGCCTGCAGACCTTGTGTTAGACACATGGGGACTAAAGAATGACCAACACAAACTGTGCAGCAACAAATAAGCTATTGACTTTACTTCTGTAAGGTGGACCAAGGAAGGCATGTCTAATAGAGTGGACAGTGAGTGGACAGTGTTTAAAAACCTTACTTACACTGCTGTATCTGATCCACTCAATGCTGAGAATGATACAACTCCCAAATAAAACCTGCTCTGTGGGGGTCCTGTGGGGGTCCTGACCAATGAAGAATAGGGTAACAAAGTATGCAGAGAAACAGATGGACCACAGTCTGTAACTGTAGAACTACAAAGTGCTCCTATATGGTTTGTGGACCAGATAAAATCGACAGTGAGTGTACATGCACAGTAGGTGTACTTAATAAAGTGGCTGGTCAGTGTCCACTAAGCTGCGAAGTCAGTTGTTCTATCGTGCTGTCATTTTGCCCAAAAATGTAAGAATAAATTGATGTCACCTGACATTTTGTCACCTTGACTATTGCAATAAGCCTTAATACATGTTTATGTAAGTTTATGTCAGTTGTGTTGAAGGACTCATGTTGGGGTCATTCAGCCTTATAAACACTGCCCTACAGGAAAGTGTTACTAAATGTTTGTTTAGCCATATAATTAGCTCACTGAGGCTAACTTAGCTGAGGACAAGTGCATTTCCAATAGAACATTTGCTCCTTGTTGTTGCCTCCTCTTATCCTGTGAGGGGCCACTTGTGTATTATTATAGGTTTTAGTGGTGCAAGGATTCATTTGTTTTCTCAATGTATCATTTATAGTTCGTCCCAGTGCAGCTGCATCAGTCGTAAAAAGGAAATGCTGAATCTTTTGCATGGGTCAAAAATCGATTTTTAAAATGCTACTTTGCAAGAGTGGCTCAAGCAGCCTTCACACGCTAACCGTGGATGCAAATCATGGAGGAAACGCAGAGCGAGAGATTTACTTAAGACACATACTTTGCACAATGTAAGGGTTGCAGGTATGACTGTGTGTGTGTGTGTGCGTGCGTGAGTGATGGTAGGAATGCATATTTTATTTTATTTTATTTTATTTTACTTTATTTAATTTGTTGTAATTTAATGTAATTTTATTTTATTTTATTTTATTTACTGTATGTGAATGTTTGTCTGATACTGCGCACCGTGAGCTGATTCTAAATCTGATACAAAGAGATTTACTGCTCAGACACTACTGATCATAAACCAACCAACAGCTCTCTGTTTTGCTTTTAATTCACTTCTGAGGTATGAAGTGAAGTCAGCTAGAATATATTAAGAACAGTATTGAAGTGAAAGGTTAGTGAAATCTAAGCAGAGGTCAGAGAATGGGTGATAAAGAATGCACGCAGTGGATAGTATAGGCTGCCCCAGGCTGCCCCCTGCAGATTGGATAATACAGAGAGGCAGAGGAACAGACTGTGATTAGAAATAATTTGAAAAATAACAAAAGACGGAACCAATTACTCTGTGTGTCCTGTGTAAAGATGTGAAGTTCTGAATTCAGTTCCATAACAATATTTTACATTTGCAGACAGTCAAAGGGGGATACTCAGAGACGAGGATCGAGAAAAGGATCATAATCACAGGAGATGATGCTGTGGACCAACATCAGGTGAAAAATGAAGCTCACTTTGCTGTGGGTCGTGTCTCAGTGTCTCATTTAAAGTGGTAATTAAAGTTTTCCCCTCCTTTCAGGCTCTTGCTATGGCAATACAGGAGGCCAAACAGCAGCATCCTGACATGCTTGTTACGAAGGCAGTGGTCGTCAGGGAAACAGAATCTCCCTCTGAGGAGAAACACAGGACATCTGAGGTACCCTGACCTGAGATAATCCAGGAAATATTTCTCATATTCAAGAGAAAACTGTCCACAGTTTGTTTTCATTTTTGAGCGGAATCGTTCAGTTGAGTTATTTGGTTAAATAAAGACTTAGTCGAGTCACTGCTACCCAGGATAAGTTCAGAAAGTGATGGTTGAAGCAAAAATCTAAATTACACAGTTTTCCTCTTACCCCAAATGCTGTTAATCAGCAGCACATGAGGCTAGTTTTTATAGTTATGATATGTTATACTGTGTTTTAAACCACACATATTAGTCTGTTCAAGACTAATATGGTTTTGGGGGAGTGTGTCATGATTTAGGCGTGACGGTAGCATTTATAGTAGTAATATTAGACTAATAGCTCCAGTAAAATAAAGTAAACATCAGTCACTAAACATGTCTTGACTGATGCACTATATTTGGGGTAATTGGCACGGATCCCTATTTTCAGTGATTCCTGAGTAGAATCTTAGAGAAAAGGCGGAAAAAGCTCTAATAAAAGCATTAGGATCTCTGTGTTAAACAAATCTATTTTAAATCAGCCTCTATATAGTCTTAAAAATGAATGCCTTTAAGACTGTGCCTATATAGTAGTTAACCCTTAGAAGTTGAGAGCATTACTTTTGATTAAATCGCAAGTATTCCAAATGCAGTTAATCACAACTTAAAAAGCATTGCAGTTCATTATACAGGGTGTCCCAAAAAATGGACATCATTTGAGATGGGAATATCTGAGTAACTACATGTCCTGGCAAACTAAATTAAATAGGCTTCATGGTGAAAAACACAAGATTTATTTATCAAAATTCGAACTAGAAATTCAGAGGGCTGTAGATTTTCTAACCGATTTCACAGCTCCAGAAATGTAATATCTTCTGATACTGGTGGTCGTCCAGATCCCTTTGTCCTGCACAGACAGCCTTCCTCTTTGAATTTTTTGTGCCATGTCCAAATCTGCTGTCCAGTTGGTGCAATTTTATTGAATTTTCTCAAAAATGCCACTGCACTCTTGTTTGACTGTGTTGGAGCATATTCTAACACACTAAATGCCTTTTCATTTCTAGTGAACGCCGTTCTTCAACCTGAAAAAAAAACATAAAAATTAAACTTGGTTAGTTTTTTACACATTTTGTTAAAAATTGAGATCATTTGAGGGAGAATTGGCTGTTATTAGACTAAGAAATTATGTCAATTTTTTGGGGACACCCTGTATTTATATAAGTGAACAAAATAAGCTTCATCAGAATTTATTTTTTGCCCTTAATAATTCAACTTGAACCTGAACATGAAAATACGGTTCTAATTTTCTAATTAATCACCCACATCCAGTGAGAGCAACAGCGGCTGCATGTTCAGCTCCTCCTTGATTGTAGCCAACTGCATGTTTCATTACAAAAAGAGCATAATAGATCCTGTTTAATTGGATTTAGTGCAGTATGTGAAATGTAAAATTAAAACCATTGAACATTGTACTGGTTTGATGGCAGTTTTGAAATGTGGCACTATTAGTGCTTTGAGTCTGTCAAAGTATAATGATACATACTGTGTATTGTGTGGAAAAAAAAGGATTGTGATATGATATTTTAGTCATATCACCCACCCCTGTTTTACATGGTCAGTTATGTAATTAGATAGAGTTAAATTACATTCTGTAATTCAAGTCTGCCCTTTTCCATGTGTTTCAGTGTAATAATGTTTTTTTTCTACAAAATAAGACTATAGTCACAAAAAACAACTTGTCATCAAATTTAAATCATAATAAAATATCCTATTTACAGCTTACAAACACAAATGTTTCTCTCATAGAGATTAAGTTTTAAGTTTTCTTTCTTCAGAATTTCTTCACTTTTGTTATCACCAGCAATAACTATGATTTTCAGTGTTAACCCTCTACTGCATGCATTATGAAAGCAATTTAAAAAAATCAATTCACTTTTCTTGCATAAATTTGCATAATTTTCTTGCAGAAATCCTTGATTTATTTTTTCAGACCCGATTATTAAATTCAAGAACATTAAAATAATAATAATAATAAGCAGAAGAAGAATAATAACATGTGCAGGGGTCCTTTTGGAGTATGTTGTCTTGAGGCAACGATGTGCAACAATGTGAGAGATTGACATAGAGCCATGTTCCCTGAAAAGGTTAGACCTGGCTTGTGACTGGCTAAATCCACTGTCACACAGTGTTGCTTCTAGGCAACAAACATACTTCTGCAAAATCTCATAACAAAAAAATTGATACTTAATGTTTAAAAAGAGGTTTAAAAGTGCCCACTAAGAGAGAGTTTGACCAAGCACATACTTTTTATTGGCTTACTCAAACTCTTCCTTTATTTTTTACCCTAATATTGTCTTTATACATGTACAATTTTATTGTAAAGTGAGGAAAATGAGTTTGTTGCCCTAAAGCAACATCCTGAAGTGGAGGGTTAATATAGCATTGGTTCATGGACTTCTGTAATTGAGGGGATTTACCTGTTTGTGTGTGTACAGTCCTGATCGCAGATCTCATGAAACGAGAGTGAGGAGAGGAGCCTGACGTCCAGCCCCACCTTCAACACCCAGCTGTGAGAAGCTAACCTATGCTACTGTAACAATACAGACCAATAATATACAATACAGACCAATCCTGCATCCTCCATTACAGAACACACACCGTTTGAGCCCTCCTCCCTCTGCTGTCAGGCCAGACTGTGAGACTCTGTTGTTCGAGGCAACCTTGAGATATCACCACCTCACCAATGCAGTCCTCCATATCAGCTGTTTAAACCAAGTATACTACTGCACACAGTGCTCGTCTAATACTACTACTCCTATGTCCAACTAGCATGACTTGTTGCCGTCTTCAAAAAGGTTGTTGCCCTTGAATTGTATAAATGTTGATAGAGTTTATTCTCCGGTTTAGCCTGTTATAACTGTGGATCCTGAATTCCGGAAATGACTGAGGCGAAACGTGACCCGGTGTCCATCTCGTATGCAGAGTTCCATTCTGTGTGGCCAGCATCAGTCTCCAGTCAAGCGCTGTTTGAGTTTACATGAGTTCGGACCCTCGCTCTGAGAGGCTCGCTGTTTTTTTTTCGTCCCCCAGTTCTACCTGCTCACTGTGGAATACTCTTTTGCTCTGTCCTCTAAAAGGGTCACCGTGAAGATTCTGCCTTCTCTTTCTCCTTCATGCATGACTTTGGAGGAGATATGAGGTCAGGAAGCTTCTCCCTATCGGCCTGGGGTGATGGTCAGCTTTTACTGCTTGCTGTCACTTATGTGACATATACATAGTCAATCGCTGTCTTTTTAGCTTTGTAAAGATTTTTAAAATGTTAGATGATCAAAAAAAAGTCAAGTGTTTGCTTGTTAATTACAGTTAAGGCATATTTATCGATCGTCACCTACATATGCATGATTGGAACAGCTGGCGTGGATGGATAACGATGTAACGCATCAACTGGCAGCATTTGCGGAGAGCGCATCTCATGATAGTAACCAGTAGCTACTTCTGAAGTGGAATATATCAGCTTGGACTCTACTTCATATAAAGAGGCTTCACCCACACGTGTAGAGATATTTTTGAAGGCGTGTTTTTTCTCTGCGTTTTGGCCCTCTGTCCACAAAATAATGGTGTTTTAGGTTTTGGAAGATACAGGGTGATTCAAAAAGATTCATCCGATTTCAAAATGATTGATTTCACTTGTAAATCATTACAGATCAATGCAGTGAACTGTAAATGGTTTAAATGAGCATAAAGTTTATTATGTAATTGTACAAGGTCTCAGTATGAACCTCCTCCAGCTGTACAGACAACATCAACACCATAGTCAAATTCATCCCATACTGGATTGAGCATGTCGGGTGTCGCTGCACTCACGGCTCTTTCAGTGCGATTTCGGATCATCCAGTGTTGTGGAACCAACAAGGAACGCTCTGAGCTGTTGGAGCTTCACTGCCCACGAAAATCACACTGCACAGTTATGACGGATTCACTCTTATTGAAGAGGAGAATGCAGAACGCTTTCTGCTCAGGGGTCTCATCTCCTCGCAGACTGAAGGGAGCCATCTTCCACTGACAGTCAGAAACTCTATGACCCTCTCTTTCAATTGGATTGTGATTGGTTCCTAGGCGCCTCATGGTTGTAAAAATATGCTGCTTTGAAATCGGATGAATCGTTTTTGAATCACCCTGTATATCATTTTGAAAATGCAGACATAACAGCATCTTGCGCATGGTCACTGCAGGTTTTTTGCATGAGTTGAGTGTCAGGACGTACCTGACATGGCTGAAGACCATGTGGTTTCTGTGTGGTCGGTAATATAGAGTTTTACTTAACCCTTTCCAGCCTTTAATGCCAAATTGCAGCATGGTTTTCAATACTGATTTCCAACAGTGGTTTCAACAAGTCACCTCAACATTACTGATGTTGAAAGCTAACTTTACAACACCAAACCGCTTTACAGTAGTTATTACTTAGAGGATATTACTTCCTTTTCTTCAAAAACATGATGTAGGGGTTATAATATCATTCATTTACATGATTTAGACCAGTGAGTCGCTGACATACGAGTCTGATGCAGAGGTCACTGAGGGTGGAGTTGAAGCTCAATAGAGAGCAGAAACCTTCATCTAAACTAGAGGCTCTCAATCGCCAATGCCTAGAGGCCCAACTACTCAACTATTCCCTGTCCCAGCGCACCTGACAGCCCCAACACGCCTGACCCAGCTCAAAAATGGGCCTGATAATTAGCTGATGAGTTGGTTTAGGTGTGTTGGCGCCGGGAATAGTTCAAAGTGTTTTGGGAAGTGGAGCTGAGAAGCTCTGCGCTATATTATTACCCAGATATCTGATATTTGAAGTTGAAAAGGGAAAGGTGGAAAAATCAACCTGGTCCTGTGCATCATTCAGGACAAAGACTGCTTTGAGGAGCGATAGCGAAAAGAAAAAAGGCACAAGAGAGAAATTAGAGTTGTTGTAGTGAGAAAAAGACAGTGTTTATTAATAGTTTGGGCAAAATCTCATTTTGTGATGTTAAAATGTTGTAAATGCCACTGCTTTGAAATCTAAATGCAGAACTCCAGTGTCTTTGCATCAGATAAAAACTGACCACTGAAGCCCAGTGATGCAATATGGCATCAATATATTTTTAATATATTCTAAGCTTGTTTATCAAGGGGTTCATTTTCTGATGACTGGAAAATAACGCAGCCTGGAAAGGGTTCATTTAGATGTCTTTACACTATCAGTCCACACACATGAATTGGCATTCTTTGTTTTCTCAGTACTTTTAGATACAGCCACGCCCTCTTTACAGATTTGTGCTCCATATTTAGGCAACTATGCATGCTCATAATGTTCTTTCCAAAGTGTTTTCAGTGTTTTCAAATTAATTGTTGAAGATGCTGTTAGTACGGGCAGGCCTACTAAAAAAAAGCTAAGAAAAAATGTGTTTTTGGAAATATTCCGATACGTGTGGACGAGGTCTGGGATGTGAATTACATCTGAACATCATGCAGAGAAAAAAATCATGATCATGGTTTTTCTTTTGTTTATTGCATCTGCTTGTTTAAGAATAATAGGGCCCTGTATTAGTATCTCCAACCTAACTGACCCCAGACTGATATTCTAAATAATGTGGGCCATAGAAACCAATATATATGAGTTACAAGAGGATTTAGAAAAAGAATTTTAATATAAATATTTTCTATAAAATTATTTCCATGGGAGAATGTTTTTATTTTTATTTGAGTTCTATTTTAAGTTATGGTGTGCAACTTTGATGAAATGTATTTATATGAATTGTGAATGTCAGCTGTTGGGTTTTTTCCTTTCCCACATATTTCACTGTATGGCTTCCTAACCTGGTCACTTTTAGACAAAGCCTGGGTTCACAGTGTGCGGATAAAAAAAAAAGTAAAAAAAAGAGAAAAGTTAATATACTGAAAATATATTACAATACATTGTGCGTATATTTTGCAATATGCTGATAAGAATTTTTCATTTTCATAGGAGCCGTACTCAATCAGGCTTTCAGAAAAACCTGAAATGCAGCGTTTATCTGTGTGCAGATACTATGTGTACATATATACAGTGGATTGAATAGTAGACATTATTTAAAAGCCTCCCTAAGTGCTACTGTCACTATGCAGTATTTGCATCTACAGGCCGAGATCTATATTAAAGGTCACTGAAAACAGCCCATAATATTCTCATATAACACCTCTGTAAGCTGTAACAGTAAAACTCCATCTTGCATCTAAAAGAATAGCTAAACTATATATTGTTGATGTTATATCAGAACCTTGTTACTCCACATTTGAAAATCCAAGCTGTCCTTAATTTGAATGCTTCAAAATTACAAAATATGAAAGGAAAAGCATTAAAATTGTTTTTTTTTTCAGCGATATAAGGTTTTGTTATGACAGTGACGATATGTTAATGTTGCTGACAATAAATGTAAGCCAGTAGCCATCAGTGAGCATTGTCATTTTCACAAACCTAAGTGCTGATTTTGGTCTGAGTCTCACGATTCTGGGTCTTTGAATAGGTCAGTGAATGGCCAACTGACCTGCACGGTTCAGAACAGTTGGCCTGTTGAAAGACATTGGCTGTGTCTCATGCAGCTTCGCCTTTTTAATGTTACGCAGGAAGTTGAAGCGTTAACCCGGTCCAGCCAGAATGGTACTCGAGACCCTGACCTGACCTGAACCTGCTCGGACACAGAAGGCCAAAGTTAGCTTCTTATTTACCAGCGTTGTATTCAAAATTTCCTTCCACCTTAAATGGTGCAACAGTTACTTTGAAGCACTAACAGAGACACAAACATGGTTTTACAGTGCTTTGCTTTGTTACTAAGGACTTGAGTCGCTGGGATAAACTGGTATTACACACATTATTAGTATATTTTGTGGAATTGCCAATCATCACGATTGATTACTGCTAAACTTTATTCTTGGTTTTGAACATTAGAGCTATTCTGAATGCAAGAATGCAACTAGTCTTGCTAATCCCTCATTAGAAAACAGACCCAATCCCGATGTTGTAAGTGAAAAAACGACCCAAAACCAGCCCGAAAACCCTTATTTTATTGTGCCCTGTCTGGCTTGGGTGGGTAGCAGACTCTAATCTGTATGCTAATGATTATAAGTGGTTCAAGTTAGCATTTTAAGCAGTGTGGCAGTGGATACACCCTCATCACCGGCTACTCGGTTACATTCATTATTAGCAACATTAGCATTATAAACTGAACCGTTCCTTTAAAGACAGCCAGTTCTGTATTTGTCTCCCTCTGTAGCCACGGCTTTGTCTCAGCTTCCTGATTCCTGCTTGGTGCAGCCCCCTAGGGAATAGGAAGACCCTGTAGGTGTGTCGGATCTGCTGTTTTGTTTTAATATGTGATAAAATAGTCCTATTACATAATTATAATTTCTAGATTTTTTTAGTCTGACGTCACTGGACTTTCTGATTACTGTTTTGTTTGCTGGGAAGAGAAATTCTACCAAGCTTGTACTGAATCCATTTATAATGATAAAAAAAAGTTTTTGTTTTTGTTTACCTGCTCTAAAAGAGTGAGATCTGTTTGGTTTTGGTGTGTTGAAGGGAGTGTGTTGGTGTGGCTGCATAAACAGGGTGAAAGCAAAAATGGAAAACGTGCAATCTAGTTAATATGTAAATGCAATTGACATGTAATGCGAATTACATGGACATGTAAATAGTGTCACTGTTGAGACTCCACACGCAAGGACTGTTACAGCGCTAAACGGGAGAGGACCATCATACCAATATTGGGTGCCTTACCGTCAGAGTCACTGCCACTCAAGGCAATGGACAAAAAGGTGTGATCCACTCAAATAATGGAGATGCAGATGACCGTTGTTGCACTGGAGTAAGGCAAAAGTGCCTTGTATATACTTGCACAGAGAGTTTCTCCGTTTTTCCTCATAGCTCATGATGTACGAGGCGCAGTGAGTCCTTCGGAGTTGATTTCGTGATCGTATAGCTTGGTCCTCTGCTGAGCGGCCCCGTATGGACATACAGCAGCCTGTCCTGCGATAGCGGCATAAGGGTCAAGCCACTGCTCCAAAGGAACCGGATCCAGTCCAGTATCTAATGCTCTGTGCATGGCATGAAGCATTGGCCTTCCCAATACTACTGTCCTCCCTTCAGCTCACACCGCTCCTTCTCTACTCTTTCATGGTCACCTAGTGCTTGATGGTGTGTTTTTTGCTGTATTTGCATTAAGTCTAAATGGAACACATGAGTACATCAATAAATGTCTAAGTCTGATTACAGCTGGATATTTTCTTACCGTTTAACTTACTAAAGCAATGGTTAGGCCAAACAACACGTGTATACAATGTCCTTCTTACCCAAAAGTAGTCGATTAAATAAAATATCATGCTTGGTGTCTGAAGTTTGCTTCTTTGCTTTTGCCCTTGGGCTACGAGGTTAATGTAACTAACAATAGCAACCTGTTATCATCAGGCAAACTGCAGTACTCGCCTCCAGTCAAGGGCCCATATCATGGAAAACTGAATTTTCCTCACTTTTTTAAAAGGAGTT